TTAAAAACAGGTACTACGCAGAAGAAGAAGCGGTACTGATCGGTACCGGTTTAGTAATCGTGATTTCTTTAATCCTCCATATCTACCATACCACGTAAACCGTTCACGCGTGATTTGGTTGAGAAATAGTGGAAGTTAAAACATATAAATAGAATTTTGAGTAGTCATGTATGATCATTTAATGAGATGAAGTGTCTTTTAATGAGATGAAATGTATTAGTAATGTTTTTTCATTCGTGTGTTGAGTTGTGACCAATTTGCGATTAAACTTAATTAAACACATTTTAAATCTCCAGGTATGCAGACATTTGACTTTTTAGCCCTCTTTGGGCCATTATATCCACAGGTCGGGGGTGTAGCCTCAACCCCCCATCCCACACTGGGATGTTTATATATATATAAAAAAAACACATTTTAAATCTCATAGAAACTAATGCGAGAGTAATAATGGGTCATATAAACATCATTTGAGATCGAAATTCGATGTTTTTACGTGATCGTTACAAGTGGTACCGATGACCCAATATCCGGTCAACACAATACAAAATAGTACTATCTTACTCTAGGTCTGATACTCCTTTTTGTAAATGTTGACCAAAATTGAAACAATCCATTTTCGTTCACAAAAGTAGGTACTAATCGATAAAAAAGGAGTACCACGTAGAAGACAATGCGGTACTATTTTGGCAAAATTATGTACTATTTTAAGAATCGCGTTTTACACCAAAATGAGTACCAACTACTGGAAAATTAGTTCTTTTACACCAAAAATCCGGTACTAATATTAAGAAAACAAGTATCATTAGGAATAAAATAAAAAAAATCTAAAACATCATCCATTAAACTACTTTGTCCAAAAACCATCATCCACAAAACTACAATCATCCATCAAACAATCAAACTATCAGCCTACTTGTCCCCAAACCACAATCCATCATCCACAACATCACACCATCAAGGAAGATTTCATAACATCACAACATCACACCATCGTCCACTTCGTCTTTTGTTAGACCTAAAATGAACTACATTATTCCTAAACAGATAATGAAGAAAACGAAACTAGTTCTTCGAAAATAGATACTTGTACTGAAGTAATAAGAAAACCGAATAACAAAATATATAAAACAAGAGTGTCTCCAGAGCTTTTGAAGTAATCGGTTTCTTTTGGTTTGTTCGGAGACTAGGGTCTTCGTCTTGCTAGGCCTTCTGCAGTGACGGACGTGGTTCCAGAGCTTCGGAGCTCTCCGCGGAGCTGGCTTTGTTGCTATCTTTCCCAGATGTTCTTGCTGAGGGTGGCTTAATGTTTATGTTGTTTAGGTTTATTTAGGTTGTAGTCTTTGTTTTTGTGTGTTGCTTTGTTTTGCTCCTGTTTTGTGTTGTCTGTGTTTTAGGTTTGGGCCGTTGGCCTCTGTGGGCCCGAGTGTCATCTTATTACCCTGTTGGGGCCCAACACTCGGGTATTACCCTGTTGGGGTCCTTTTTGGTTGTCTGTTTTATTCTCCCTTTGAGAGTTTTTAGTGTCGTAGTGTTTTGTTCGTAGGTCCAGAG